AGAGGTCCAGAGGGAACTAGAATAGTTTTAAAAGAAAGATTAAACAACCTTCTCAGCATGATGATCACATGGTGTTGGAGGTCTTGTAATAGTTCATCAAAGCTCTGCTTCGCTCTGTCAGTGGACACTAAACTAATCAAAGGTTGGAGACTAACCTGAGATATTTATATATATATATTAGTATTATTGTCCACTGTCCAAATCTTCGCTAGCAACAACGAGAAGAACATGGTGACAAAAGTAGAGCAGTGTCTTTTTGAGTGTTTATTAAATGACAATGACAATTCTTTTCATAAACACAGGTACATATAAATAGTATGTATTTATATAAATATCTGACATCTGCACAACATGTGCAGCATATCTCATCGTTCCATCAGCTCCTAGCAGTCTAACTCAGGAGTCCACGTTGACACGGGGACATTGCAGATGGGTCCACACCCGGCTCAGCGAAGGGGAACACTTCTCTGGTCAGTCGGGTCAGGAAGCAAGGCATCTCCTTCTTCCCCCCCAGTGCACCACCTCTGGCCTGGAAGCTGTAGGCCACCATGTGGGAGAGGCGGGTCATCAGGCGGGTTAGCTCCAGGTTGCGGTTGTCGCCCTGTCTTAGTAAAGTGCAGAATGTCTGGAGGAAGACCGACCCTAGAGGGTGCATAAAGGCTCCGTATCCTGAGGAGACGACAGAAGGGTACCTGGGTTAAAGCTGGAACGTTAACACACCAATCCTGTTCTAGATAGAGACCATCTCACCAGTGTAGCTGGTCTACGTCACAGCTCCAGATAAAGACGTTCTCTCTGGTGTTTACCTGGCGGTGTTGCGTACATCACAGCTGTGTCCATGGGAACAGAGAGGTACTGGGACACGCTACACTCTCTGGTGTCATTAGCTGAATCCACCTCGACACCATCATCCAGACCAGTTCCCCGACACGCCTGCAGAGACCACAACCAGTTGTCAGTCCCCCCAACCCCCATCTTCATCACCACGGTCAGTCTGTGTGTGTATGTGGGAGTCAGGAAACACTCCTACCTGGATGAGGAACACTTTGGCCTTTTTCTTCATACATTCATTGTCAAAATATGAGAAGATACGAGACAGTTTGACAGCTTTCCCGTCTGCTCCAAAGATGCAGCCTTGGTCTCCATGGGAGGACAAAACCGCCAGAAAGCAGTTCTTCACAGGCCGCATACTCTCTGCCGAACGCAGACACACAATCAGAGAGACAATCGGCAAAAGAGACACACAAATATGCTCAGAAAGTATGCACACAGATATCTCAGGTAAGTACTGAGGTGAGAATATGCAGTAGAAACTGAGTCACGTTTCAGCACTCGCTGCTGTTTTATTGGTTTGTTTTTCACAATAATCGTGTTGTCTGTCTTTTCCTGTGTCTCTCTGCTGAGCTCACAGCTCCATACGTATCCTGGTCTCACCTTGGAGGAACAGCTGGTAGATCTCCTCCGCGCTCAGGTCGCTGTGGATCTCCACCTTGAAGCCCAGCTGGCTGAGGGTGCGGTGAAGTTTCTTGGCGTCCTTGCTGGCTCCGGGTCTCCTTCTCAGAACCACGCCTGGATCAAACTGCTCCACAGAGACCAGCACGGCCCTGTTGGTGTCCCTCCTGTGATCCATCAGTCCTCCCTTTTCCATTTTCTGCTTCTTTCTCCGTTCTTGCTCTTTACACCGAGGGGGTAAAGTTCTGTCTGTTATGTCGGTCAGGCTGTAAACCTGCAGTCACACCTGAACGACCATATAAGGACCTCCTCTGGCAGTTACAACAGGAAGGATCACAAGCGTTATGTAACCTGGGTTATCTTCTGCACGTCTCCGCGTGCCTTTCATCAGGTGCGTTCATCTCAGACGTTATCTGCAGGTGTGTTATTCTAAGGCAGGGGTGCTCACACTTTTACGGCTCGCAAGCTACTTTTAAACCGACCAAGTCATGGTGATTAGTTTTCTATCAGCTCCCGTGGTCGACCGCGCAAGCGATTGAATTTTTACAATGGCAGGCGATCTACCAGAACTGCCTCAGTCACGATCGACCTATTGGGCACCCATGGTCTCAGGTGTGTTAGTCTCAGGTGCGTTTGCTCTTGCAGGTGACTCAATGCTCGTCCACTGACCATGGAAAAGGTTTCATCATTTTTTTCCCCCATAAGTGCCTCACAGTAACTGTTGTGTAACTTTTAACCACTTTATCTCATCTAAAGTGTGTGTGTGTATATATATATATATATATATATATATATATATATATATATACATATATATACATACACACACACACATCAGCTGTTCTGGAGATTTTTATTGTATCAACTGGTAACATTTTACTTTTTGTTCATCTGGGTTTAGTATAAAAGATCTTTAAGTTACATCACAGGTCATTTAGCAGACGCTTTTATCCAAAGCGACTTACATTATACTTTAAACTCATGGCTTTTTCACATTGTTGCCCGGGGGGGTGCAATTAGGCGTTAGGTGTCTTGCTCAGGGACACGGGGCAGCCTGGACTCAAACCACCAACCTTGTGCTTCCCAGCACACCTTCTCTAATCCGCCACCACGACCCCGAAGTAAAGTACGTGATGTTCGTAACCGATGTTGTTTTAAATACACATAAGAGGTGAGAACAAAGTGCTCTTAGCTAGAACCCCCCATAGAGCCCTCGACCCAGGCGGTCCCCCTCACGTGAACCCCTCCTGGGTCCTCAGTCCCTCCAAGTACTGCTTCTTGTAAACATCAGTGTACCAACGCACATTTATAACAAATACACAACGGCAGCTTGTCGGCCTGCATCCACCCGTAGTTGTTAGTGAAAAGTTTACTTTAATGCCTCAACTATAAACCTTCATACCTAGTTTCATATTATGAACAGAAATGGATCAAAGTTATGAACCTGAAATATCACTTTCTAAATGATAACGTTACAAATGGTGAGAATAAATCGTCACCGCAAGGAATTGTGGGACGGAATTATCTCACCAACTTCACCTCTATCGCCCTCGCTTCCCTCTTTCACCCCCCGTCTCCTAACCAAGTTCTCACCTTAGTAACCTCTGACGTCTCTCAGTGGATCCGCTCACCATCTGAAAATCAACCCTGACAGACTGAACTACTTCTCCTTATGTGAGAAGATTCTCCTTCACAGGACCTGACTGTCAACTTTGAGACTCCGTGTTAACGTCCACTTTGACTGCAGGAACCTCGGCGTGACATCGAGAGCCGACTCTCCCTGACTCCAACATCACTGACAACACCATCCTGTAGATACTCGCTCTACAACATCAGGAGAACACGTCCTCTTCTCACTCAGAAGGTACTGGTTCAGGCTCTGGTCGTCTCCCTCCTGGACCACTGTAACTCTCTCCTGCAGGTCTCCTGCTACCACCATTCCACCTCTGCAGCTCATCCAGAATGCAGCAGCTCCACTGGTCTTCAACCTTCCTAAGTTCTCCCTCACTCCTCCACTCCTCCGCTCTCTTCACTGGTACCGGTGGCTCATCCAGTTCTAAACATGGTGCTCAGGTACCGTGCTGTGAATGGATGGGGTCCAGCTTACATCCAGGACCTGGTCCAACCCGACATCCCGACCCGCACTCTCCGCTCTGCATGTGATAAACTGCTTGTTCCTCCTCACTGAGAGCAAAACACTCAACTAGATCTCCACTCTTTGCTGTCCTGCTCCTAAATGGTGGAAGGAGGTCTCTGAAGACATCAGGACCACAGAGAGCCTTCACATCTTCAGACTAAAGACACACGTCTTCAGACTCTACCTCCACTAACACACTAACTAACTGTAGCACTTACATTGGACTTATAATGGTTCTTATCTACGGCAAGTTGTACATCGGCTTATTTGATGAAATTGCACTTTCTTGTTTCTTGTTCTTCTGAGTTTGTTTCCTTATGGTTGAATGTACTTATTGTGAGTAATGTAATTTAATCTCCTTGCCTTTCGTAAAGGATGATCCAGTAGTTCCTAAAGAATTGAATGAATTCCAACCAGTGTTAATTTCGTCGACGAAAACTATGACGAACATTTTTCGTTAACGACCTTTTTTTCCTCGACTAAGACGTGACGAAAACGATCTTAAAAAATAAAAACTATGACTAAATCTATTCTAACTTTCGTTAACGAGACGAGAGAACATGTTGGTGGTTGAAGAAGTCACGATACTTTCCCCCCTAAATTCGCACGCAGCTGACAGACAACAGACAACAAAGTACGGCGGATATTAACGCGTCATGATGACGTCATCCACCAACCCAGAACGCGCGCAGCGCTGCAGCGGTGCTTCTTGTGCACCGACTACGGACCGCGACGACTATTTTACGCTTCGGCGAGTTTGAACGTGGCTTCGTTAGTTTAGCGCGGCTGTCTCTGGTTAGCTGCCTGTTAGCGGGCTGAAGCCGCGCTGCTTCACAGAAACATGAAGACCCGTTTAACAGTCTAACGCAATAAAGTCATTGCAGGTTCTGAAGCCTCACGCACTTCAACTATAGTTCACGCGGTTAAACCGTCTCGGCCACCGTACGCTCGTTACTAAGCAACGCAGAGGCGCGCACACGTCACAGGTGGATCCTTTTGATAGCAGGTGGAGGAAAACCCGCAGGACACAAGAGAGAAGAACTGGTCATGAAACCAACAAATAAAGAGACAAAGAGAAAGAAAAGACTTGAATGAAAAGTGGGGTCCAGTTTAGAACGGCTGCTTTATGATGCAGCCAAGAAAATAATGTATTGCAGCGATTGTAGGACGTTAAGGTCTCTTTAGTTGGGACAGTGGAAACAATAAAGGACTGTGGCAAGCGTGAGGTGGGGTAGGAACTACCCCAATAATCTATGGTTTTTAACTAGGGGAAAAAGAAAGAAACTAAAGGAAACCAGCAACGCCACCCTGGGAGAAATCACCCAGGGAAAAGAAAGAAATCTATGAATAAGGTAAATTACTAAATCTAAACAAAAGGACGACACAAGTTCGTTACACTGAGCAGGCGAGAGACGTGTTTCCAAAAGCATATACAACAGTTTATTGGGCACAATTCAAATCTAAAAAAGTTATCCTATTTGTATAAATTATCATGTATTCCAGGGCTGGGGCATTTGTGCTCAAGGTGAGTGAGGGGTGAAAGTATAAACTTAAAATGGGAGCACCACAATCCAAAATTAACACTCCAAACACACAAGGGCAAAGCAAAACAAAGGAGGGGAGTGAATAAGACACTACACACGAAGGGACACCATCACCAAACAGGATCACCAGTGAGGCCCTCAGCACCTGGAATCACAAAGATGGACAGTTAATGGGAGACTGAAAATAAATTCAACAATAGAGATCCAATACAAATCAAAAAGAAAGGAAAATATCAAAACAGGTTACAGTTTGAACTCAAAGAACTAAACCATCAAATAATCAAAAATAGCTACAAAAATAATAAAGAAAAATCTCCCTTGCCATCCACCTCCTATTTCAGGCAGCTAAACATGAAAACATAATACAATAGGCATAAAAATGCGGACAACGGGATTTCCACACCCGAACGCAGCAGCAGGCAAGGTCCGTAAAAAGTGTGGGTTTTATCCCCACACAAAGCAGCAGCAGTCCAAAACGGGTCAGGGCAGTCGGGACCTCAGCGTGGCATAGCTCCGGGACAAAACGAGCAAACACGCAGTCCGACCTGCCAGCGCCTGCACATAACCGCAAGTTTATTACGGTGCAGACTAAATCGCCGACGCGCAATAGACTGCAACATACCTGCACGGTGGAACAATTTGCACAACCCTGCAGAGAGTGCCGAGCGTCTGCCGAACCTGCAGCCAGGTAAACCCGGAAGGGGGAGGTGCGTATCAGCTGTCAGAGAGCGAGCAGATCTACAGGTCCCTCCTTATATAATAAATTAAAGGGGCACAATACTGCGAGTGGGCGGAGCCACTGGAAAAGCAGTCATCCTGCTACAATCTACCCCCACTCTTTGTATCGCCGTCCCGACGATAAACTAAATGCGTGCTTAACTCCAGGGTCTAAAGAGTGCAGTGACTAAGTGTGATACGGGGCGTTCGGAAATTGCAGCCCCCGATGCCAAGTCCCCCACTGGCCTTGGAATGCGGTGGACATTAGGATGGTGGCCAGCAGTTGACCGCGTTGACCTCCGGGGTGGCAAGTTAATGGGGTCAGAGGAGCTGGTGAACGGAGCAACTGGGGATGCAGATGGCAGGTCTGGATTCAGAACAGGGGGCACTGATGGACCTGGCACAGTGGGATCCATGTTAGGTCGATGGTGTAGTTGTTGAGGAGCGGTTTCAGTCTCGGCCCGTGCCCGAGTGGCTGGAAAGGTGGGGAGGGGAGCAGTCCTAGGGACCAGGAACAACAAGTCACCATCACAGGAGGACTCAGAGACTGGGCTGTCAGGGGGCGGTGCATGACTGGCCACCGCATGGTCAGGGGGCTCTGCTCCAACCACCGCCTTCAACAAGGTACGGTGAACATGCTTTACTTTAGACAGATCATCCTTTGGGGCTATTGTGTAGACGGAGCCTCCTTCCTTTGGTGCTTTGAGGACTGAATACACTGTCGAGCTCCAGCGGTCTTTCATCTTGTGACGCCCCCTGGTACTCAAGTCGCGCAGGAAGACTGACTGACCTTCTTTCAGTGGTTCACCTCTGAGGTGCTGATCATGCGCCGTCTTTCTGCGCTCCGCTGCAGTCTTCATGCATTCTCTTGCACCATCAAACGCAATCTGCAACCGGGCCTGATGCTCTTGGATCCATTCATGAACACCTCCACTGACAGGGTCCTGGACTCTGGCCAACAGGAAATCGATGGGGAGTCTGGGCTCCTGACCAAACATTAAAAAGAATGGTGATTCGCCAGTGGTTTGATGGGGAGTGGTGTTGTAAGAATAAAGGACTTGTGGGAGGCAAGAGGTCCAGTCTCTTTTTCGGGATGGAGGCAGTGTGCGGAGGAGGTTATGGAGAGTTCGATTAAATCTTTCACACTGACCATTGCCGGCTGGGTGATATGGAGTGGTGCGAGATCTTTGGATGCCATAAAGACTGCAAAGTTGCTGGATAAGTGCACTCTCGAAGTTGCGTCCCTGATCCGAATGTATCCTTGCAGGAACCCCAAACTTCGAAAACCACTCCACCACCAAAACATGGGCTACAGTAGAAGCATGTTGATCACGGGTGGGGATGGCGAGCGTATATTTACTGAAGATGTCTGTCATCACCAAGACATTTTCCATGCCATTTTGAGCGG